CTGATCCCGTAATCTGACCTACGGCTTGGGGTTTGCACCCTACTAGAAACCCACTCTTTGTATACCTGATGGAGGCAGACCAGAGGGGCCCGGCTGCCTGGCCACAGCCAGCTGTCCTCCCCGAGGTCCCAGATGCCGAAGGGAGAAAGCCAGGACCTCAGTCGCCTGCAGATCCTGCTCTGGGTCAGAGAGGGGCCATTCTAGGAGGATGGTGGGAAGCACGTTTCCTACTGCAGGGGCAGCAGGGGCAGGTTTAACCCCCAGAGCAAAGCATACAGTATTGAAGACAGAAGGACACAGAGCAGACGGGGAGAGCTGCTCTCCCTCCCTGGCGCCTCACGTGTGGGGACAGTGCAGGCGCTGAGGCTTTCCTGTGGGTCTTATGCGGGTCTAGACTGGACACCACCTGTGACTCACAGCTGAAAAGTGAGTCTGTGCAGCCAAAGGAGGGCAACTCTGAGAAGTTGATAGAGACCTCAAACTCCCCTTTGGGATGATTTGCTGTGGACACTCTAGGAAAGAATACACTAACTGTACCACGGGGTGCTCCCAGGACCCAAGACTCCCTGGGGCAGGCCCAGGGTGAGATGAGCAGTTCTCCACAGGAGTGCTAGGTGACCCTAAACAGCATGAGTGTCTAGCTGGGGATCAGGAGATAAACTGCTGGGGCTTGGCTACTGGCCATGCGGTGGGTGGGTGGGTGTGGGATGGGTACTGTGTGTGGAGTGTTGGCTCAGGTATCTGCCTGTGTTATCAGTGTCTGGGAGGGGAAGAGAGAAGGAAGGGAGGTTATAAATAGAAACCTTGTGAGGCCAAGGAACAGGTGAGTAAGCAGAAGGCAGGCACATGTCCTCTGAATCCACACTCACGGCAGCATGGTGCCGGGCTGTGGCCACAGGGGACACGGCACCTCCTCCATCCACGCACCCACTCGCCCTTCCACACTTGCAGACAGGCACACACACGCCATGTCTAACAGGCTGGAAGCGTGGGTCAGGTCCCAATTCCACTGCTTCCTAACCTCTCAGAGCCTTGGTTTTCTCATCTGCAAAACGGGGATGATACTATCCCAGCTACTCACACCCTGCAACTGTGGGAACATAAGACACTGGCGCGACAATGCCCTCCCACCCCGCTGTCTTCCCATCCGTCTTCTACAACCTCACCACCATTTCTACTCCCAGTCCACAGGTGGCAAAGAGCACCAGGCCACCAGGTAAAAAGCACTACCGGGGAGGCAGGCCTGCTGCACAGCCACATCATGCCCAGTGCCCACCCACCTAGAGACTGCCCCATCTGACCCCCAAAGCCATGAAACACCCACACTGAAAGAGAACTGGAGAGCCAGGCATGACTGCAGCCACCTTTCTGCAGCCCAAAGGAGGGAAGCGGCCTGCCCAGGTCACAGAGGCAGGTGTTACAGAGCCCACACTTCCACCCTCTTCCGTTCAACTTCCCACAACAGCATGT